CCTGAATAAGCTCCTGGCTCCTGGCTTTGGATCAGCACAGCTCCGGCCATTAGGCCATCTGGGGAAGGAACTAGCAGATGGAAGACCTCTCTCTCTGCCTCTGTCTCTCTGTAACTCTGCCTTTCAAATAAATAAATAAATCTTTAAAAAATTCACTCTTAGTTATACAGTACGAGAATATCTGTTTTCTTTTCTTTTTAGAAGGGATTGCTTCATTCAGGAACTTGCTAAGTCTGTGGCCAATGAGAGCCAAGTATTTGCATGGATGAAGTTGGAAGTGGAAGACAGTTGTGGGGCTGGGAATTAATTTGTTCTAAGCTTTCAATGGAACTTTCTTTCTTTCTTTCTTTCTTTCTTTCTTTGGACAGGCAGAGTGGAGAGTGAGAGAGAGAGACAGAGAGAAAGGTCTTCCTTTGCCGTTGGTTCACCCTCCAATGGCCACCGCGGCCGGCGCGCTGCGGCCGGTGCACCGCGCTGATCCGAAGGCAGGAGCCAGGTGCTTTTCCTGGTCTCCCATGGGGTGCAGGGCCCAAGCACTTGGGCCATCCTCCACTGCACTCCCTGGCCACAGCAGAGAGCTGGTCTGAAGAGGGGCAACGGGGACAGAATCCAGTGCCCCGACCGGGACTAGAACCCGGGGTGCCGGTGCCGAAAGGTGGAGGATTAGCCTAGTGAGCTGCGGCGCCGGCCGGAAGTTTATTTCTAACATGCCGTAAGTCTCTAATGGGAGGCCTAGATTTGAGCTGATTTCCATAGAATGATTCTTTAACAGAATCAAATAATATTGGCTTCTGTTTCCTCGACAGTCTTTCTTATCCAGAAACAAAGCATTTTTAAAGGAACAAAGTAAATTTATGAAAATTCTAGACCTACTTGGGTTCTAATTTTGGAAGTAGTATAGCAGTGGAAATAATTATTTGGGTTTTTCAGTCCAAAAGACCCATATTTACTACCAAATGAACCTCTTAATATTGCTGTGGTTTTGAGCATCCTAATCCAACCCTTTGAACCTCAGTCTCCTCATCTGTAAAATGGGGTTGATGATATCAACTTGCCAAGTGAGGTCATGGACCTCAAGTCTCAAGTACAATGGGTACAGAGCAGGCTCTCAATAACAAGGTAGTCTTACTGATTTTCCTACATTTTCCACCCCTCTCCCCCCTCCACTGTTCCTAGCAGCTTCTTGAGGATGTGCCCTCCTCTGCAGTCTGCTCTCCTCGGCCCTCACCAGTGGTGTCCTCGCAGTCACAGCACTCATGGGCATCAGTGGGATCGGAGGCGTTACAGCACCGGAGGCAGCGGTTGTCGTCCATGTTCAGAAGCAGGTTGGCAGGGCACATGGTGCAGTTCTTGACGCCAGGTCCCTTGCATTCCATGCAGCTCTCGTGACACTTTGCACAGGTAAATTTCTCTCCCTGTCGAGAACAGTTGG